AACTCTTCCCATTCTTCAGCTTAAGTCTGCGCCCATCACGACTATTTAATTTACCGGTAAGCTCTGAAACTCCTGGTCTAAGCTGTCCCAAAATTCATCCTTCTCTTGCCCACTGCAGCCCATCCGCGGGGCATATGCACACTCCACATTTACAACCCCACTGTCCAGTACTTGTCTGAGTATGATCATTTCTAGATTTGAAGCTTTCGTGACTGCAAGGATTCATACTCTTAGGTTTTTTCGGTAAAGTCACGTAGGTAAAAAATAAAATTAAAATTTATAAAAGTAAAATAAAAAAAATCACGACGTTTCGTACTTGATACAGCAATCGTGCTGTGACGGTTCCACCTGAAGACGGAAGCTTGTGTTGCCTCCGAAACGTCGTGATTTTTTATTTTTTATTTTACTTTTATTAATTTAAATTTTATTTTTAACCTACGTGACTTTACCGAAAAAACCTCAGAGTCTGAGTATGATCAGTCTACCATTCACTTTTCCGACTTCCACCGCCTTTGTCTTGATCTCCTCACTCAGCACAACTCCAACCCCATTTCGCCTTGCTGTGGTTCCATGGTATAACAATTTAAAACCACAGCCAATCGCTTTCGCACTGCTGCCTTTCCATGTTGTTTCCTGGATGCATCTGATGTCGACTTTCCTTGTTCTCCTGTCATTGTTTCAATATTCCATGTGGCCAAACCTTATCTTATAGTGTATTATTTTATACTGCTGCCTCCAACTTGATGATTGTAAAGTAAATGTGCCCCAGGTTGGTGCAAAGCCTCTTAAAAATATCATAAAATATTTCCAATCTATGCAAATCCAAACTCTTGCATTGTACCTATTTAGCTTTAGCCCGCCTTAAATTCCATGTTCACTCAATATAAACTCGGATACAACCTCATTGATGACCACGTGTTAAGGTCTGCACGGCGTATGAGTGGGCGGGGGGGTACTCATTTAAATGCTGCGCAAAAACGTAGCAAAGGGCACAGGAGCAGTTCAGATAATCGATGTTGGCAGCGAATTAGGTTGTTTGTAGGCACACATTGCACCTGGCACATGTACAGTGCCACGGCTCCCCATCACATGTACACGAACACTGTCTAAGCAACCTTCAGAGACGTTTGGGACACGTGCAGTTCGTGGGCATCTTTTAGAGCTGATGGTGGTGGGCAGTAGCAAAGGCAATAAGACCTCCCTTATACCCTTTAATAGACTGTTGGGGCAAGTGCTGTTAGCGAGCAGACACACACACGTTCCGCACAATTGTATACATATGGGAGACGCGATCTAGATGATAAACTATTGCCTATTCTGATGTTCTATTGGGTAATTGTAGTCGAGCAAACATGAGCTCGCCAGCATTCCTGCACCGAACCGTATCTCTCAACAGGCGCTCATCGCCACGTTTATAAACACCCTGATAATGGTGTACGTGGACTATTTGCCCACTTTGCTTTTAATTAATCAGTAACGTCGAGTCAACCCTGAAAATGAGATAAGCCGAGCGTTTATCAATGCCCCAGCGCCGCAAGTCATTTATAAAAAAAAAAACGAAGAGCGCCTGCGCATTTGACCAATTCCCAGTGACGTTTACAGTAATCGTTTCACCGATTGATCAATAAAAGCCTTGACACAAGTTACCGATTTGATTATATCTCTAGGTGACGTTTGTGTGTGTGTGGCTGTCGTGGTTAGCTTAAAGATACACCACCCATATTCTTAGATTTTTTTTGGTAAAGTCACGTGGGAAAAATTTAATTTATAAAAGTAAAATAAAAATAAAATTAAAATCACGACGTTTCGGAGGCAACACAAGCTTCCGTCTTCAGGTGGAACAGTCACAGCACGATAGCTGTATCAAGAGAGAAATTACAAGAAAACCGTATTTTTATATATGGAAATTACAAGAAACCCGTATTTTTATATATTTATAGAAAAAATACGGTTCTTGTAATTTCTCTCACTTGATACAGCTATCGTGCTGTGACTGTTCCACCTGAAGACGAAAGCTTGTGTTGCCTCCGAAACGTCGTGATTTTTATTTTATTTATATTTTACTTTCATAAATTTAATTTTTTTACCCACGTGACTTTACCGAAAAAAACCTAAGAATATGAATCCTTGCAGTCACGAAAGCTTCAAATCTAGAATTTATACACCACCCACTCCCTGTAAAGCCTTTAAGAGGCTGTTTGGGGCAAGCGCTGTTCGCGAGTAGCGCCCATGACGGTCAGCACACGGCACACGAGGAGTTGGGTGGCCAGCACCACGTGCCCGGTTAGCTCAGCACCCGTTGACCTGGGATTGCTGCCTGGCCACGGGCAGGACAGCAGTGCCAAGGTGGGAACCAGCCCCGAGCTCACCCCCCACTCCCGCGCCCCTGGCCAACCTAACATTGAGAGTGAAGTAATAGGTTTTTACCCTTTCAACTGGTGCAAAGAATTGCTTGTGTTGTGGTTATTGCAAACATGATGCCTTGTATAAAGGTACTCAAATTGTAAATGTTGTGGCTTCAACACACCGGTGGGCTAAAGCAGTGAACTATTTGTCTTTGTCAACGTGACACATTTTTACTGATTGGCCGTGTCGGGTGGTGGAGGGTTACGACACATTTATAAATAAACGCGATCTAAACCCAAAAACGTTGATTATGAATTGTATAAAGGTGTCAGTTTTTGTACCAGTTGAAAGGGTAAAAAACCTATTACTATATTTTGCCACTGGTAAAGGAGATGTCTTTTCTTCTTGGTTCTTTCGGTAAAGTCACGTAGAAGGGAAATAATAAAATAATGCAAATTAAACATAATAAAATAATATATTTATAATTGTATTACTTCCCTTCTACGTGACTTTACCGAAAGAACCAAGAAGATGAATCCCTGCAGTCACGAAAGCTTTAAATCGAGAGATGTCTCAGAGTGAAGTTTGTGCAAACAAGTCCCGGGGTGACTTTTTGCGGCACGGCGAAAATCTCATCCAGCAGTGGATTTTTTTTACAACCACGCAAATGTTTCTCACAATAATCACCCGGAACACGCATTCCGTTCCTGAAGCTCGCCGGCACGTGGGAGATAAACGTCGCATCATTGCATGTTGTAACTCGCTTCGCACCGTACTTAGCCACTCGTGATCATCGGGGAGGTGAGATTAGGAGCGCACTTGGCTAATCGTGCTAAAGAAAAGAAGATTACACTTGGACATTGTACCAAACACAACATCCTCCCCTGTAAAAAAAAAGGAGAGCGATTTTTAAAACAGTGTCGACCCATCGGACGATTGCACTTTCTGCAGGTCGAGTAACCAGAATAATTTGCACAAATTCTGGCCTCGCCATGAACCTCTTGGGTCTCCTCAACCACCAGCGTCAGGCTCTCGCCTCGAGTTCACCAGCCTCTCCCCGGTGCCACTGCAACAACCGCCTCGGGTCAAGTCAACGGCAATGCATCTGGCTGCCGCTCATCGAGTGTGCAGCAGAATTCGTACGCGTGATATGCACGAGCCGGTGGATGGCTATTCTACGCTTCACGTGGACATGTCTAGAGTGCATGTTGCGCGTTATCTGCTGTGACGCATTCTGAGCGTAAGAAAAAAAAATATACACTTCGAAAGACCAGAGGTTGAAAAGTAGTGCATACATCAAACGGAACCTCATCGTGCAATCAACGCTTATATGAACAGCCATGCCATTTTCTCTAAGATCAGATAAGATTGTGATAATGACATCCCCCCCCCCCCTCTCTTCCTCGCCATGTAAGACTATTAAACACAGCATCGCGAATGCTTGCATGATTACTTACAAGTAAGTCACAGGGCCACCGGTGACTGGGTTTGTGACAGAGCTGTACACACACCTGCCAAGGGGTTTCATTGCTCCTCTCGATGGGCCTGGTGCCAACGCAGGCCATCCGCAACGGTGGAGGCATCCCGTGTCGGTGACGCGGCGATGAATGCCTTTATGGTCGAAATGTCTCAAACATTTTGCAGTTCCACAAATTAGCAGGTCAAAAGTTCGTAATCATCCCAGTAATAAATAACTGGTGTCACTTGCGAGTTTAGCTAATGATTTAGGAAATAGCGCTTATTTATATCATGGGTCAATGGTAAAGCCATGCGGCTTGCAACGGGAAGGTTACGAGTTCAAATCCTGGAGCGGGGGTCGAGTCGGCCCATGATCCAGCTGGGTGAAATGGGGAAGAAAACAAAGAGTTGCACTTTGTGGCAAAGTAAACAAGTGGCCGACTAATGGAGAAAGACTCAAACCCACGAGAGGAAAGTGGAATTTCAACGACTGGCCTCAGGGCTGTACGACAGGAGAGAGGCGCTGCCTCAATGCTCAACTGAGCAGGACATCGCGTTGACGTCAAATTGTTTTGAGTTATGAGAATGGGTCAACGGCTTGACACGCACATGAAATGGATTGCACAGTCACCATGCCAGCATATGATGGAATCATCCGTTTGGGTACGTCTGACAGTGGCCGCGTTTTAACAGTTCTCCCTTAAAACAGGTGGAGCGTTGATATTTGAATTCCAGTCCTGAAAGTCGCCCAAGTAAAGCCACTTCGTGACGATGACACGTGTGGTTACTGGACATCTTTACGACGTCCGAAATGTACGTCAGTAATCGTGGAAATGACCGATTGTAAAATATAAAGCTGCTTGGTCAACACCTTGTTGCTACTTATCTCAAAACTGTTGTCAAGCATGCTGTGCAAAACAAGCGACATCACCTCCTGTTGATATACCATCAGATGGGGGCATTGCTTGGTACCGCATAGGGTAGGGAAACTCTTCTGCACTATTTGGAAAATTTGCAGATGTATTGTCTGTTTCAGAGACCGTTGTATTTTCGTCTTCTGTAGAAGTTGCACACTTTATTACAAAACTACATTCCACTACACTTACTAAACAATAATTTATTTAAAAATGTACCCAATGATTTGGCCCTCGCAGACGCAACTCGTTGGTTAAAGCAACGCATTTTTCAAACACCAGACCAATGGAAGATTCTCACGTCGACGAGATGGGATCAAGCGCGTGCGACGAATGCTCGGATGGAGGGGATGGGTTGACCAAGGACAAAGGAGCCGTGGTGTACGGCGTCTACGACACCCCACCGTGGTACCTGTGCATTGTGCTTGGCCTACAGGTGAGCCAAACAAAAACAACACACAACACTGCTGTGGCACTAGCGATGAAATCTGCCGGTGCAACGATGCATTTTGTTTTAATTTGAGTGCAATTGTCAACAATAGCCATATTCGACATTAGTAACATCTTATCGGCATAATCATCGGTGCATTGCAGCTCAAAGACTCAGCCCCTACATTGCGTGCGGTGGAGTTCGATGTTCACGTGCTCGGCATTTGAAGGCCTGGAGACCAGAATCGGTCATTTCGCCGACAATGTGTCCAGGGAGGCAGTTCCATATCCGGACAGCAGAGTGAAGTGAGCTTCTGTCCAGGGAGAAATATTCTGGCAACTGGGGGAGGCGAGGGGTTGGCTTTGCAGGGTTGTGCATAATCCAGTGGCACGGCATCTTTCATATGGGGGGGTGGAAGCACGGCATTGAAGTTCTGTGGGGTCACCGGTTGGTGTGCATTTTGTACTTCGTGTAGAGCGGTCTTAGCGCAAGGCGATTTACGTGGTTTTGAAAACGGTGACAAGGGACGAGGTGTTGAGTGACCGTGAAAGAGGGGCACGTGGAGGAGTGAGGTGTCAAGAAATTATCAGGGGAGGGAATGGGCACTAGCGAAGAGGTCAGCTTTGAAATGAAGAACGGAAGGTGCGAGGGCTGCCTAATGCAATGGCTCTTAACCTTTGCTGCAGCCCTGCACCCCTTTGGTTCTCAATCATTAAACATGTTGAATGTGACTAAATACATGGGTTTGGGTGAAACAAAGTTGTTGCACTTGTATGCCCGTGCTTAAAATGTGTTTCGATGAATTACCTTCTAAAAAAAAACACGACCATGTCTCGCACCCCCAGAAAGGGCATCTCGCAACCTCAGAGGGTGCGTGCACCCCAGGTTAAGAACCACTGGATTAATGCGAAGGGGAAGTTTACTTCAGTGTAAGAGGGGCAAGGAGTGCGAAATATCGAAAATGATAATTTGTGTCAGAATCGAGGTTTTTTTTATATTCAAGAACACTTATATGCAAATACAAAAAAAATGCTCATGCAGTGGTGGTGGCTTTTAGAAAGATCCTATTATTTTTATTATTTTATTATTTCCCTTCTATGTGACTTTACCGAAAGAACCAAGAAGATGAATCCCTGCAGTCACGAAAGCTTTAACTCGAAATTTAATGCCTACATTATCAGAGCATGTTTTGCCACGAGTATGCGTGATAAATGCGGACTTAATGCTTTGCAAAAAGGTCTCTATTTGGTGTTTGAACATCTGAGCACCCGTTTTATTGCCAGAAAGGGTAAACCCCAGTTGTTATTTTTCGTCATTTTGGATACTGCCAAAGAGGTCCCGCACAAATGAAGTGAACATAACACTGATGGCAAAAACAGGTGACGTTCTGCGCTGTCCGTAACCTCCTCCCCCTCGCATCACGGGCGGCGATGGTGGCAGCAATTCCTGACGGCATTCGGCACCATCGTGGCGATCCCGTTCATCCTGTCGGAGCACCTGTGCATCAGCCACGACGACGTGGCGAAGGCGTACCTCATCAACACCATCTTCTTCGTGTCCGGCCTGTGCACTCTCCTGCAGGTCAACTTCGGCGTCAGGTGCGGGGCGGGCGGAGCGGGGTGGGCGGGGGGTCATCGCTCATCTTTGCTCTTCGTCAAAACGGACTCTGCTGGGGGGGGGGGGGGGGGCAAGGAAGTGGCCAAAATGTGTGCGTCTTTAGTATCTTCGCCTGACGCTCGTTACTTCACACTGGGTAAGGGCCCTCGAATGATCGAGTTGACAAATCCGCACATCCGACGCGATTTGACGAGAGGTTTGGCCCCGAAAAAGGACCTTTTGCCGGCTACCAGGTGATGATCTAGTATAGCCAATGAAGGGGGAACTGTAAGGAGATGTGCAATGCGTACGCGGGTGATCTGCCCAATGCGCCAAAAGCGTGTGGTGTCAGAAGAGAAATCTCTCCACAAAACAACCAGCGTGCGTTTTTTTCCCCCCATATTTTTTATTACAATACCAGTGCAGAATGCTCTGCGATCCAGCCAATGTTTTTTCCACACGATCTTTGACACTCGTTTCATGCAGATAACAATGTGCATCAAGGCCGTAGCCATGGAGTCAACATTGGGGGGGACCAAATCTTGCAAGGTGTCTGGGGGCCCAACCCAGAAAAATATCTAAATTTGAAAACTAATTTCCTACTATTTCCTGCCTAAAATATAAAAAAAATTCACTAACACATGGGATGGACCTTTTATTCATTTTTTACAATAATTGCTCTGTTTTTACTTTTTTAACATTTATTGATTCATTGTATGTAATGGCAGAGATTAGGAATTAATAAAATACAACCATAACCACAATCATATGAACAGAAATCTATGCATTGATTTATATGAAGACAAGTCCAGATATTGTGGTCAAGTTTGAGCAAATTGTTGTTTTTATTTACATAGCATACTAAAAATATTTAATAGCAATATATTGGGGGGGACATTTTTAGCATATTTGAATATTGGGGGGGGATGTGGCCCCCCAATATATATTATAATTACGGCCTTGATGTACATCTAGCCTCGCATGCAATATAATACACGTTGCTTTCTCTTGCAACGATGCCGTTTTGTTGGAGGGTACTCGTCCGACACCTAGTGGTAGACAACTTCAGAACAGGAGACGTGGGGTAGGAACAGTTGTTATAGCAAATGAAATGGCCAACACATCAACCACGCCGTTCAAACTGCAAATGACCACACCTACTAAAACATTATTATACATTTAAAAAAAACTCCTAGTATGGCTCTAGAAGAACCCCTCATCCACACCGATGGAGAGGGGCAAACCATCTCGAGAAGAACCTCTCATCCAGTAATGTAGGGGGAACAGGGAGCTCAAAACACTCGCACCCAAAGCACTCACACCTCTGGTCCTAGCGCATTTCCTGAACTCGCGCTCTCGGATAACACAGCCATGGCCATCGTTGACCCTTGGAGGTCGTTTTGCCCATCGATCCGGATATTGGGGGGGGAGGAACGTTCCCGCTGATATCCGCCATCCGCCACAGTCGTGCAATTCATAATCAACGTTTTTGGGTTTAAATCGCGTTATTTATAAATGTGTCGTAACCCTCCACCACCCGACACGGCCAATCAGTAAAAAAAGTGTCACGTTGACAAAAGACAATTAGTTCACTGCTTTAGCCCACCGGTGTGTTGAAGCGTGAAACCACAACAATTTACAATTTGAGTACGACTTTTAGCTGGTAATTGCATCCAGCATCATCGGGCAATTCGCCAAAAACGTTGATTATGAATAATATTGGTCGCGAAAGCCTACGTGTTAAACTGACAGTCGTGAAAGTCACGCGAGGTTTCACACTCACGATTTCACTCATCTGCTCTCGCCGAGTCTCCAGACTTTTGGGAAGCGTTGGGCTTCCAAAACCCTCTTCGATCACACACGCTCCTCCCGTAAGGCAGTAATGCCACCGGGTGCACAGTGGTGACCATGGCTTGTCACCTTTCCACTCCAGTAGATGGCACTCCTCGCCATCACCAGCTCTGTGCGTGGCCTCTCAGGCAACCTTGAAGCTACCTCGGCACGGGTTTAGCTCCTCTCGGCATGCAGTACACACAGCAATGCTGGATCACCCCTCTCTCATTTCACAGGTGCCACAATGACCACGCTGGGCAGTATAGGGTGGCCCAGCTGTCTTGTAATTCCCCATTTAAAATGCTCTAAAACTTTTAAGCAAGGTTCATTTAAAATTTAAAAAATGTAATATGCAAAGTAAAAAAAACTTTGGAGAGTCAATTCATTTGGAGTTCACAAGACATCTGTACCACCCTGGACAATGTTGGACTATTGACGGCACGAGTCAAGCAGTGACAACGCTTGTACCCCCCCCCCCCCCCCTACGATGGAGCTAGAGGCCACCAGCTTCATTGTAGAACGTTTGCGCCCTCTGTAGCCAACCGCGCCTAACCGATTGGCTACTAACCCCAAGCTGCTGTAACTGTCCCGACCTCGCCTCGTCTCTCATCCGCGCCCAGACGACCACCGAAACCCACACACCAGGGGGCCTCTTCATTCACAACCCTGGCGTGCTCTATAACAACCCACAAGTTCAGAATCACGTGGCCACCCCCGGCCTCTTTGTGACGCAATGCCACGTGACTTCTACAGCATTCAGCAACGCTGTTCCCCGCGGTCCGCTCCTCTCTCCGCTGCTCGCTGGATGTTTGGAACAGCTGCTCGTGGCTGATGTCCTTCTGCTGGTGTCTTTCCCCGCATCTCAATCACGTGTGTGTGGGAGGGGGGCGGGGGGTCTCTTATATACGAAAGTTGGGCCGGATTCGTCACGGTCCATTGTTTAATTCCCCGGTAAAATGATGCCTCTGTACCTGTACTGAAGACAACAATGCACGCGCGTTACACCATCACGCGTTCTCAATTAACCTCAGCGCACGCCTGTCCCTCTGCGAGTTACATTTGACTCGAAGCATAGTGCTGTTGCACCGCCGATGCGTCTATGAACGAGGCTCATCGATTCCGTCATCACTTGGCAAACACGCAAACCTGACCACCCCCCCCCCCCCCCCGATTCACACTCTCACCTGTAAATAATTTCAATATTACACATCCAGCCTTTAATTGTACCGCGTTAGAGTGCGTGTGTGCTGCGTGTGTTTGCGTGCCGCATTAGGTTGTGCGTGTGTGCTGTGTGTGCGCTGCATTGGCTGTGTGTGTGTGTGCACTGCGTATGTGCTGCATTGGCTGCCTGTATGTGTGCACTGCATGTTAGCTACATTGGCTGGTTGTGTGTGTGTGCACTGTATCTGTGCTGCGTTGGCTGGGCGTGTGTGTGCGATGCGTGTGCGCTCCATTGGCTGTGTGCAATGCATTCGCTGTGTGTGTGCTGCATTGCCTGTGTGTGTGTGCTGCATTGGCTGTGTGTGTGTGTGAGTGTGCTGCATTGCCTGTGTGTGTGCTGCATTGGCTGTGTGTGTGCTGCATTGCCTTTGTGTGTGCTGCATTGGCTGTGTGTGTGCTGCATTGGCTGTGTGTGTGCTGCATTGCCTGTGTGTGTGTGCTGCATTGGCTGTGTATGAGTGTGTTCGTGCGCTGCATTGCCTGTGTGTGTGCTGCATTGGCTGTGTATGTGTGTGTTCGTGTGCTGCATTGCCTGTGTGTGTGCTGCATTGGCTGTGTATGTGTGTGTGCTGCATTGCCTGTGTGTGTGCTGCATTGCCTGTGTGTGTGCGCGGGCGCCTTTCGAAGGCTGCCCATCCTGCAGGGTGGCACCTTTGCGTTCGTGACGCCCACGGTGGCGCTGCTCTCGCTGCCCGAGTGGAAGTGCCCCGAGACGCCGCTCAACATTACGAGCCCCGAGCACGAGGAGAACTGGCACTCGCGCATGCGGGAGGCACGTTCACTCGCTCGCTCACACAAAGACAAAGATCCCCCGTGTAGCCTTAACAGACTGTAGGGGCAAGTGCTGTTAGCGAGCACCTATGAAGGCCGGAACGGTACACGAGGGGGTGAGTGGTCAGTGCCACGCCCGGCCGCCTTTGTCTCCCCGCGGTGATGGTTTTACACGCCGCGCTAGGTACGCTCGTTTGAGGCTGAGTCGACCTAGGGGAGACCCAGGATGGGTTCAGATGATCGTCACCGGCGTTGGCCGTGAGTGGGAATCGAACTCGGGTCGTCGGGTTCGTAGCGCGGCGTGCCGACCACTGCACCACCGCTCCCCACATGTGCATTAATACACAAGCACAGTGGGGGCTGGTCATTGGGGAACGGTGTCAGAACGGTGCTGTCACCTTGACACGCCAAGCACGTCGAGACATCGAATTGTACTTTTGTAGTCGAGAAGACGTCTTTTGACACATTGTCAACCCTTTAGATTTCTGATGACGTGCACGGTGGCGTGCACGTACGTCATCGGAACGGATTCGGAAATAAAAGGGCATTGATGGGAGGGCGTGTGGCACAACTGAGCGCCAGCTATCATACATTGCGGTGGTGTCACGACAGTTACCCGCGGTGATTACAATGTTTTAAAATAAAACAGGCGCGCCACGCCTCTCTAAATAAAATTAACGCGCGTTCCGAGATTCAGTGGTGAACGGGACCCATCCATGCAACTTGCAGACATTTTGGAACGGGGAAGGGTTAATATGTAATTCCGTTCCTTCTATTTGTCTGGCTACTGGCATTTCTCAGTAAAGATTCGGGGGGGGGGGGGAGTACAGAAAACGCTCAACGTTTTCCATGTGAAGAACGGAAAGACAGCTTAGGACGCTGTCTTTCCGACAGCTATGTTCTTCACCTGAGGACGGCTGCTTGTGTTGTGGCCGAAACATCGTGAGAATTTTATTGTTGAATTTTTATAATTTTATAATTTTCCTTCTACGTGACTTTACCGAAAGATCCAAGAATAGCAATCCCTGCAGTCACGAAAGCTTTAAATAGAAGTTTTCCACGACGTCCAGTTCAGTCATTCCTTTGCCTTCCGCAGGTCCAGGGCGCCGTGCTGGTGGCCTCCACCGTGGAGATCGTGCTGGGCTTCTCAGGCCTCGTGGGCTTCGTCCTGCGCTTCGTGGGGCCGCTGTGCGTGGCGCCCACCGTGTCCCTCATCGGACTCTCGCTCTTCAAAGTGGCGAGCAACGACGCCGGGACGCACTGGGGGATATCGGCGATGTGAGCACGCGCGGATGATCTCGGTTCTCGCGACGGGGATCATCCTAGCAGCGGCATTCGCAGCTTCTGGGCTAACCATCGAGCAAGGACGGTCAACCGCGTCGCGCGTGCTTTCACGTGCGCGTGTGCGGCCGTGCTGGAACGCTCTGTCCTTCAGATATTAAGAAGCCGTTGGGAGCTGTGCACTGAAAAAACATCCAAATTGAAAGCTCATTTGTTCGGAACTGCTTTTTGCGATCCGTTTGTTGTCCTCTTCCCGCAGCACCTCCGATTAGCACGGTTGGCTGTATACGGTGCGAAAGAGGTGTAAGGTGCACGCGATATTCACGAAGCCACTAAAGCAGTGCACTTTGACATCTATAATGAAAAAATAAATTTCTTTAGAACCGCTTTTGGCGTCTAGTTTGTTGTCGGGCACTGCGAGTGAAGGGAAAGTGGAAATTCACATGGAGCGTGGCGTGGGTCTTGGGGGTTCTTCTCTCGCGAGGCTTAGAAGGAGAATGCAAGTCAGGAAAATTTGGGGGAGCAAGTTGGAAGCTGTGGGGAGTGGGGAGGGGGGGTGAGACGCGTGCACACATCAGCGAGCCATGGAGAACTAGGCGTAACCACGTGGCTGTTGTTTCCTTCTCTCCGCCGGGATGCAGGACCGTTTTCCTCATCGTGCTGTTCTCACAGTACATGAAGAATCTGGCTTTGCCAATCCCCACCTACAACAAAGGCTGTCGGATAAAATGGTTCCAAGCATTCAAGTTATTACCGGTAAGTTTTAAATTGTTTGTGTATTTTTGTTCTTGCCCGTGAATACTGCCTTGATTGTGATTTCGTACGTAGAATAATATTACAGCCGTTTCAGTCCTCTGCTCGATGAAGACTTCCACGTACCCTTTAGGTCGTGGGGGTCATTTGACTACACTTCACCACGCTGGCTAAGTTGGTTGGTGAGGGGGGGGGGGTGCTAGAACCAGATGAGAGATATCATTCAATACTGATGTTAGACGTGGCGGGGAATATAATTCGGACCACTGTTACCACTGCTCTCACCGAATGATAGCAGTTGGTCTTCCTTTATCCAGATCAGAACTGAGTTTCAGAAAAAGTCTACTCGATACGTTTCTCCTGACTACCACTGATGAGAATTCCACATTTCCAACCTTTTTTCTCAAGACAGCTGTTTATTTCTCCATTAGTTGGTCCTCGTTGTATTGACCCCAGACAGAATGTGTGTGTAGGCTAAGCTGAACCCTGACCATCTCGAGCCTATGCCCAACGTTCCAGGACAGCTACCTCAAAAAGAGGATGATTCTGGGAAAGCCTGGATGGGTGGCCCACCCTTGGCCTAAGCAGTCCCAGCTACAGATTCTCTCAGGTCGAGGGGTGGGGGGGGCAGTAGAGTGAGGGAGAGTGAACTTGGGTTGGGCCAAACTTGGGAACATTTGGTGGGGCATGGCCCATTCCGGCGCCCTCTTAGCGTCGGCCTTGAGCCTAAGTGTCTGACGGGCGGCTTTTTATTATTACACGCTTTCTATTAACTCACTCTGTCTGTTGTTGTTGTCGTCGTTGTTGTTGTATCCTCAAATATTGTAACTCAATTTTAACCCACTTCCCAATGTGGTATCGACTGCAAACTTGGTATACTTATGTCATACTGATGACAAAAAATTAAAAATATATACTTTTAAACAATCTTTTTTATATGTTATGTTTCGGCTTGGGTCTAATTGTCCACGGTAAACTGACGTTACCTGTAATCGACCACGGTTCCTTACGTTGTAGCAAGCTTCGGGCCCACTTCCTGAAGTCGTGAAATTCTTCCATGACTAATACATTTCATTAAAGCGTGTTTTTTTTAAAGTCTTTTTTTATATTACTTATTTGTGCTTGCCTGGTCGCCGCAGCTGCTGTGTGATCCGTACGTTTGTTGAGCTTCTTTGACACCGTACGTAGGTGCTGCTGGCTATGGGCATCTCGTGGCTCCTCTGCTACATCCTCACGGTGTGCGACGTCTTCCCCAGCGACCCACAAGCCTACGGCCACGTGGCCCGCACCGACGTGAGGGCAGCCGCCCTGCAGAAATCGCCCTGGTTCCGATTCCCCTACCCAGGTGAAGCCCGGGGCTAGAGGGCTCATCGCAACCGGTGTGGAGACGGAGCCGCAGCGTTCACGCAGGCCGCTGCATTCATATTAAAGGCTCTTTTTTTTTTTTGGGGGGGGGGGGGTTGGATCGCGTAAATATGAATGTGTCCTTTAACCCACCACCACCCGACACAGACAATTGATTCGGGTTCATCACGTGAGCAAAACGTGCCAATTAGCGATTACTTGAGCACATCAGTGTGATGCGTGTCCACTCCCAACATTCACAATTGTGTAACGACGTTTCGCTGGCGATTACAACCAGCTTCATCAGGCGATTTGCAAGAATTGTGAAGAAGTCTTCCTGCTTCTGGTTTTAAATAGAGTAAGATGATGTCAAGCTTTCGTGACTGCAAGGATTCATATTCTTAGGATTTTTCGGTAAAGTCACGTAGGTAAAACATTTACATTAATAAAAGTAAAATAAAATAAAAATAAAATAAAAATCACGACGTTTCGGAGGCAACACAAGCTTCCGTCTTCAGATGGAACCGTCACAGCACGATTGCTGTATCAAGTGCTGTATCAAGTGACTTTACCGAAAAAAACCTAAGAATTCATAGGTGCTCTCTAACCGCACTTGCCCCAACGGTCTGTTAAGGCTACACGGGGGATCTTTGCCTTCGTTACTCCGCAGGTCAGTGGGGCGCACCGACCGTGAGCGCCGCGGGGGTGCTGGGCATCCTGGCGGGGATCGTGAGCTCCATCGTGGAGTCGGTGGGCGACTACTACGCGTGTGCCCGTCTCGTGGGCGCGCCGCCACCCCCGCGCCACGCCGTGAACCGCGGCATCGGCATGGAGGGCATCGGCTGTCTGCTCGCGGGCGCCTGGGGCACGGGCAACGGCACCACCTCGTACAGCGAGAACATCGGCGCGATTGGCATCACAAAGGTGGGCGGGCGGGCGGATGGGGCGAGGGCTCGCCAAGGGTTTACCAAGAAAGTTCAAAGTTAATTTAGTAGGTATAGCCCTGTGAGCCATTCGGCTCTTGAATCGGGTGCAACCGCAACAAACAAAAAAACTAAAACATTAACAAGAAACATCTTAAAGTGACTAAGTGCAAACAGAAAATCCAAGAAAAGACAGTAAAATATTGCAGAAAAAATCACCGTACACCAACCCTGTGCAAATATCCCAGTGGGATGCAAATCAAACAACAACAACAACAACCACAAGACAACTTAGATTTAGGCCATCAGTCTAACTCTGTACTACAACAAACAAACATGGCCAAATCAAAAAACTTTTCGAAAATCACCAAAATAAAGCCATAAAAGCAATGAAACAGTGATCATAGGAACTGTGACCGAATTTTCACAATAAACGACGTAAACAACATGTACCACCAAACTCTGCAGCCATAGCTGGCTGCATGAGTCACTCCACAACAGTAGGAGCATCAGTCGGAGTATCAACATTTTTCAATGCACCTTTAAGATCAGCACACTAAATCATAACACAGATCATACTTGGCATACTTTGAACCTGTAAAGATCGCCGAGGGTCCATATAGGGCGCGTCAAGGGATATTTCTATAGGGTTGGGAATGGGGAGGAAGATTCGTGGAGGGAACGAATGAATACGCGTTTTCGCTGCCCAGCCCGATAGATCTGGACCGTGCCAAATTATCCTGAGCGCAAGGAGGTGGGGGGGGGGGACATGGGCATCGACCGATAAATAAAACAATGATGTTGCGTCTCAGCAAGCACGTTCATTCAAAATTAGACGTCTGTTTTGTCTATACTGTACTGTGTTTGCAGACCCTCATACACGATTGTATGTTTATGTGTTCCCGACATGTACTGTTTGGGAGATCCGTAGTGGGACGGACGGATTTCTTCGAATTATATTATAAATCTTGTGTGGATAGATCGACAATATGATGATCTCGTAAAGGCGCATAAACCATCACGTGCACTCCGGTCATCCTCGTAGCAGCCTGCAGCAGCAGATTTTGGCTAGCCATCAAACAAAGAGTCACCACATCGCACGCTTTGACATGCGCTTTTGCGGCCGTCTGAAACGCTCTTCCTTCCGATATTCGTAAGCCACTGGAGATGTGCACTTTTTAAATCTAGATTGAAAACTTATTTCTTTAGAACTGCTTATTGTGTTTAGTTTGTTGTCCTTCCCCTGCACCTCCGTTTAGCGCAGTTGGCTACGTACGGTGCAAAAGAAGTTCAACACACAGAGGCTACCCTCCACTGCATTTGTCCCTGGTTCTTTCCGTAACCCGGTCGGATTCAAATGTTCACTCCTATTCCGGCCCACTTCCGGCCCACTTCCACCCCTGACATGTATCATCACCGTCATCATTATCATCAGAAATGCGTTGGCGTGAAGGCCAGAACCGCATTCCACCGTGCCGTAGAAAGCACGGCAGGGTTAGGCCAGTGTCACGATAAATCTCACGAACCCACGGGTCTTTCGGCGGTCGACTGGACGATGCCGTAATGAAGAGAGGCAGGGTACGGCGTACAGGAGGGACGTCCTCCATTCGTGTAACGTGGCCAAACAGACGGAGGCGTTTTGAGCAGACGATGTCAAGGTATAAACTAAACATTTTATTTTCACCAGGTAAGGCCCACTGAGCTATACAGCACTTTTTTCAGAAGCGACCTGGCCATTAATGATAGCTCAACGAAGTGGCTTATCATCACGTGGACATTTAGAGCAGTCACATGCTCTAAACGGATGTTGATTCTAAATGTGGAGGGAACAACCAGAGGATCTGGAGAAAAAATCCACGCGACCACGGGGAGAACATGCAGACGCTAAATATACAGGCGTCAGGGTCGGGGTTGAATCCACGACCTCCTGTATACCAGGCGAGCTAGTTAACATCTCGCCATCATATATAGTGGCCACCAATGATTCATCAAGATTGTTGAAGATTATCAAACTGGATGGGAACCACTAAGAAGCACCAGGGTGCACGGAAACTGCCATGGATTTAACAAAGTCGTTTAGGGCTACCAGGGTACACACCAAGGTGCATAACGACCATCAATGATTCACCAAAGTGTTTAGAGATCACCAAGGTCTGCTTGAGGAAACCCAGTTCAGTCATGGGTGGCTAGAACCCAGATGTAAACTCAAGATCTCAGCAAAATGTTTTGCTTCTCAGGACACGGCCACTGCGAGCCACCATCTGGAGACTTCAGCGATGAACTCGTTTTCCGGTCTCGTCTGCAGGTGGGCAGCCGCTTGGTCATCGTGACGGCCGGAGCCATGATGGTGCTGCTGGGCATGCTGGGTAAAGTCGGCGCAGTGTTCGTGACCATCCCCACGCCCGTCATCGGCGGCATGTTCATGGTGACGTTCGGCATCATCACCGCGATCGGCGTGTCCAACCTCCAGGCGAGCGACCCACTGCGCGCGACTCGCAGCTACTCGCTGTGGTTGTATATGTATTACATATTCACTTTAAGATGTTTACTTGTTCGTGTTTTAGTTTTTTTAATCCTTTATATTAAGTTCGCATGCTTGCTTGCTTGCTTGCGTGCTTGCGTGCTTGCTTGCTTGCTTACGACCGTGCAAATCTTTCGGTCGTTTTTTAACCCACTTCCCGTTATCCAATCGAGCTGACATTTTGCACACAGACTCGTTGTGCGAGACAATTAATGTTTCCAAAATTTTACACTGTTTAGGGAAAACGAATTAAATATTTAATTACCAATTGCTTAATACTGGCAGACAATCATCTGACCCATAGGTGGCAGCCATCTCAAGCCAGAGGACGAGAGGACTCTAGCCGCCACGCATATAAAGGATTTATAGTGAAAAACTTTGTTTTTACGGGTTATACTTATTTAAATCCTTTATATTAAGTTCACTTGCTTGCTTGCTTAGGACCGTGCAAATCTTTCGGTCGTTTTTTAACCCACTTCCCGTGATCCAATCGAGCTGACATTTTCCACACAGACTCTTTGTGCGTGACAATTAATGTTCGTGAAAAAAAAAATCCAAAATTTTACACTTTTTAGGACAAAAAAATAATATTTAATTACCAATTGCTTAATGCTGCCATGCAATCATCTGACCCATAGGTGGCAGCCATCTCAAGCCAGAGGACGAGAGGACTCTAGCCGCCACGCATATAAAGGATTTATAGTGAAAAACTTTGTTTTTACGGGTTATACTTGTTGTTTGTTGCGGTTGCACCCGATTCAAGAGCCGAATGGCTCACAGGGCTATACCTAATAAATTAACTTGAACTTGTTTGGGTCGCGCCGCGTTCAGAACGATGTCCGACGTTTCGCTCCACAGGCTGGGGAAGTTATTTTTTCATATATTGTTTTGTATTTCAATTAGGAGCCCGGCACAGAGCACAAACCGTGCTACGAGGTGGGGGGGGGGGGTTAACAGAAAATCCATAGACCTCAGTCCCCGGAGGTAGTTAACATCTCGCCACCGTGAAGTCAGTTACCAAAGTGCTCACGTATTCATCTGAAATGGTTGTTAAAGATCCTGTGGGGGCATTGCTCGCAACATTGAGGCAGGCTTCCAGGGTGCGTTGCACGGTTCTGCATTTGTACATCTTTTACAATCGTCGTGGCGAGTGACGATTGGCACCATGCCGTCCAGTTGGCTGTAATCCTTTGAAGACTTGGTTGTGAAAAGGCGCACAATTTAAACAAAAATAGTTCATGACAAATGACTACGTGTGACTTTCCAATCCTGGCTTCATTACTACTCCCGACAAAAAAATGTGGTGAGTTATCGCTCTTCTATAATATCTTGGCTCAATATGACTTTGATCTTTGGACATGTTCACATTTGACCTGTCCTGAACCACACGTGTTGACTTAACAGCTCGGTTTTCGCAGTCAATATTGTGACTCATTATTGATTTTGCTTATGTGGCCCGAATCTAAAAAGATATTATGAATCTCACACGAATGTTTAGTTTTACATTGTATGCCCTTTCGTCAGTCCACCGCTGAACGAGGACCTCCCCACAACACGTGGTTCATGTCTTTTTTTAACTCTACTTCACCACGCCGGTCAATGTGAGTAGCATAAATATTGGAGCATAGAAGTGCAGTACTGTACAACAATTAATTTAGCATTTAGCGTGGGGCCCTTGAAAGTGCGGGGCCCACAGCGACACTGGGATAATGCGGCACTGGTGTGCACGTGTGGTTGGTGGTGGTCGTGGTGATGCCGTTGTGTTTGTTCGCCTTCAGTTTGTGGACATGAACTCAACGCGAAACATCTTCATTTTTGGCTTCTCCACCTTCGCTGGGCTGGCTGTGCCTGGGTGGCTCATGGACAACCCCGATATTCTCCGCACCGGTGAGGCCCCCTCTCACGGACATGGCAACGCGGACGCATTGGCAGTGGTGCGCACGCGTAAATCACAAACAAACAAAACAACAACAACTCAACGCATCCCTCAATAACACCGTGGCCTTAAGGGGGGGGGGGGATATATACAAAAAGGTGACACTTGTGGCGCATGATCCCTTCTTTATAGCACGTGAATAGGAGACCAGCGAGATAGAGTGAATGAGGATTCGGACAATGCGCTCGCGTACACCCCATGGTTCCGAACTTGTGATTTGCGTGCAGACCGCGCGTTAAGCGAGGAGTTGTCGTCTTCCGCTTTGCAGGCGTCCGAGAACTTGACCAGATCCTGCAGGTGTTGCTCACCACCAGCATGTTCGTCGGTGGCTTCCTGGGGTTGCTGTTGGACGTCACCATTCCAGGTCAGAGATTCTGAATCGTACAATCAACAATACACACAGCCCTTCTGACAATCCGCTGCTGGATGAAGTGGAATGCTGGTCGGTTCTCGCCGGTCAATAAGTGGGAATTCTAGTTTTAAGCTTTCGTGACTGCAAGGATTCATACTCTTAGTTTTTTCGGTAAAGTCACGTAGGTAAAAAGTGAAATTTAAATTTATAAAAATTTAAATAAAATAAAGAAAATAATTTTAATTTAATTTTTTACCTACGTGACTTTACCGAAAAAACTAAGAGTATGAATAAGTGGGAACCCAGGACCGGTTCAAAAATTGAGCGCCGTTGATGTTATCTCTGGCCGGGGTCGAGCTCGGCTCGCCGTGTTCACGGTGCCATTCGCTCGTCACTCCACCACCGATCCACTGTAGTCGTAGCTACATATATAGTAGCTACATATGTAGTAGTAGCTACATATGTAATAGCTTCATGTGTAGTAGCTACATATGTTGTAGCTACGGGCCCCGCACTTTCAAGGGCCCCGCGCTAAATGCTTCCAAAGTATCAATTTCGGTTCAGTGATTCTGCACTTGCTCTATTACTATAGTACCACACCGCCTTCAACTTTTATGAACGACTGGGTGTTTAAGGTGAGCGATTTGTCGTATTATCTGGCTGTATAGCAAATGAAAAAATACAATAACTTTACTATGCAAGTAAAAAATTAGTGTTTTTATATTTTTGCGTTATTAAAACGTTAGGGCCACTTTATAACATATGCTACAGGCCCCACACGAACTTAATCCGGCACCTAGCCAAAAGCCGCTGCTGTTGCTGCTGCTGCTGCTGTGAGGATGACCGGAGTTTGCGTGATGATGATGATGATGATCTTCTTGGTTCTTTCGGTAAAGTCACGTAGCTGTCTTCCCGACAGACCTGTTCTTCACCTGATGATGGCTGCTTGCGTTGTGGCCGAAACGTCGTGAGAATTATTTTATTATGTTTTATTTTTATTATTTTTATTGTTTCCATTCTACGTGACTTTACCGAAAGAACCAAGAAGATGAATCCCTGCAGTAACGAAAGCTTTAAATCGATGATGATAGTGGTTTCCGCTCCCTGACGAGATGGCCGAGGCATGTGTGGTTTCCCGCAGGCACCGAGGAGGAGCGAGGGCTGCTCAAGTGGCGGAGCGCCGGCCACTCGACCGCAGACGGTGGCGACGTGGGGCCCAGCAGGGCCGAGCGCCTCGCGCGCGAGCAGAAGTTCTACGGCCTCCCGTTCCGCTTGGACGCCCGTCTGCCCAGGTCATGGGCCCGATGGCTCCCGTTTTGGCCGCCCGCTGACCACGTGGGCGAGAGCGAAGGGCCTCGCGAAGCCGCCGCGGACACGGGCAGCATTCCCGTCGACTTGATCATAGCCAACAATGCTATTGTCATGGGAAACGTGGACATGAATTCTTGATTATTCTCGACAAGCGCACCTGGCTATTTGGACTCGCGTGTGTGTGTGTGTGTCGTAATCTTCAGCACGTCAACCCAAGAGGCAGTGGTCAACACAGCAGCCCCATACAGATTTTGAACCTGTGGGGGTCATAATAAAGCATTTTATCTCCGCGGGAAAACCCCATTGAATGGCAACTTTTTTTGTAATGCGTGTTTAGTGCGTGCACCTCCGATTAGCACGGTTGACTACGTAGGGTACGAAAGAAGTTCAACATACGTGCATACAGGAAACCGGAATACACGGAGAAAACGCACGCATATGACGGGATATCACCGAAAGCTCCACGCACATGGATTCCATCCACTGCTATACCCGCACCTCCTAATGACTTAATTCCCGAGTCACAAATACGATGTAGACGCCATCACAGCGATACGTTCCGCTACGCTATTTGGATATCCGAGCAAAGTACTGGGCAGGCTCCAGCTAGTTCCGAATGCGGCTGCTAGAGTGCTCACATCACGTGCACCGTTCCGTAAGCAGATCACACCGGTCCTCTTATCTCTCCATTACGCTCGTCCATCAAGGTCCTTCAGATCTTCTCATCTCCACCTGCTCAGCACTCCCAAGGTCGAGGTTGTGCTCTTTTGGTGATCGCGGCTTTTGTTTGCGTGGCACCCAAGCTATGGAAAGCCTTGCCACTTGATGTCAGGCAGAGTCGATGAGATGTATTGAAGTCTGCTTTGTAAACCCATCTCTTTTAAGTGGCGTTCCGTCTTCTGTTTCGTCGGTTGCCCCGGTTCTGTTTTTGTTTCCTGCTTTTCATACATTCCGCATTGGGATCATGGGAGAGAATGATACATTAGAATTATTCTTATTACACCCTGATGGCTCGTCCATTTCATCGTAAAATCAGAGTTTCCGCTCTGCATCAACATCAGCCCTGCGAGAAAGAATACTCCCTCGGCCTCCACGGCCACACGAGGAGGCAACCATCGCCAAAAGCGCTGACCCCCCCCCCATCCGCAAGAGGAGCAGTGTCATCATCGGCATTCGATGGACTGCCAAGAGGAAAGAATGAGAAGGGGGAGGATATAGTAGAGGTCAAAATGGAACGTTGTGAGTTCCAAAACTGGGCTTGAGGTCAGCTAAGCCAGACTTCCTTCAGGCGCATGATGGTAAATCGGCGGTGGGTGTCCTATGGATGGAGTGGAATTGCTAAAGCAATGTGGAATTCCACCAATGGTTTACGTTTGCCAATGGAGATGAGTGCTACGCCTTGTTGGTTTGAAACGTTTCTTTTTTTTTTACCAACTAAGGCCCACTGAGCTATGTAGCTCTTTTTCAGATGCGACCTGGCTATCATGAATGATAGCTCAACGAGGTGGCTTATCATGTGTCCATGTATATCAACCAAATACTCTGAACGCACGTTGATTCTAAATGTGGAGGAAAAAACCGGAAAACCGGGAGAAAAATTCACGCGACGACGGTGGGAGAGACACACAAATTCCAAATATACAGCAGCAGGCGTCAGGGTCTGGATCGAACCCACGGCCTCCTGTATACCAGGCGAGGTAGTTAACTTCTCGCCACCGTGGCGCCCAAAATTCTGGGCAAGGAGACTCAGAATTTGATCAAATTGTAGCTCACTGAATCTGCAGACTACGCGGGTTCCATATGTACTTTGGAATACAAAGTTCAGCTTGTGTGTTTGAAAGTCTAAACTCGATGTGTGTTATGTATTTCCTGTCATTAGCGCGCCCGCACAAACACACTCAGTGCACTGGGACACATCGCTGTGATTGTGGTTGATATCATCAAAGACAAAGATCCCCCGGATAGCTTCAACGAAATGTTGGGGCAAGTGCTGTTAGCGAGCAGCACCTATGAAGGCCGGCACGGCACACGAGCAATAGGTGAACAGCACCACGCCCGACCGCCTTTGTCTCCTGAGTGGCGATGTTTACACATCGCACAGGTACTCTTTTCAAGGCTGAGTCAACCTAGGAGAGGCCCAGGACCGGTTGAGATAATCGTCACCAGTGTTGGCCGTGATCGGGAATCGAACTCGGTTGGCCGGGTTCGTAGGGCAACGCACGAACCGTTGAAACTACCGCTCACCAGCAGAGGGCAGAGTGGCAGCGGCATTTGGGAATGTTATTCTGAAGAGCCCATTGCCATCACTGCAGGCTTATTGCAATGCCACCATTAGGCGCTGTCAAACACAGGCTGAATATCAGTGGTCAGCTGGCGAATAGAACTCATAATGTCAGAGGCACCGAGCCAAACACTCATATATGAAATAGACTAAACATCTCCTGAAAAAATAGTATTCGCACTTAGGGACGCTTTCGTAGGAAAATGTTATTTTTTTATTATAATTATTATTATAGTGGAGTGGTGAGCGAATGCCACTGCGAACATGGCGAGCTGAGTTCGACCCAAAACCAGGGATAACAGCAGCGGCAATTGCTTTCTGAACCGATCCTGGGTCACCACTTATTGACCAACCTCATCCAGCAGAGGATTGACAAAGGGCCCTGTGTAATCATGACTCCTTGTAAAAAGGTGTCAGTTTTGTTGCCAGATAAAAGGGTAAAAACAACAATTATCATATTTTGCTATTGGCAAATGAGCTCTCATACTATGATGGTGCATTGTCCTTGAGTTGTGCGCCTTTTGGCGTCATCTGGTCCAACACCATGTGAGACTAGGCTCTAAGAAAAGCTGTCTCGGGTGTGGACCAATCAATTTCAAGGACAGTGCATAAATTATCAGAGTTATGTTTTTTGTTTGCATTCCGACTGCAGGTATTGTGGTCAATGCCAACATGACTCCTTGTAAAAAAAGGTGTCAGTTTTGTTGCCAGATAAAAGGGTAAAAAAAAACAATTATCAGGCCGTGTGTATTATTTATTATTCCATTCATAATCGGCCACGAGCAATCCACTGCTGGATGAACAGATAGCCCAGCCGGTGCCATCCGTCGGGATCGCGCGATATAATGATCCACCAAGAACCGGCACAGGAGCCGATCTATAAACTATAACTAAACTTTTTTTTTTTACCAGGTAATGCCCACTGAGCTATACAGCTCTTTCTCAGAAGCGATCTGGTCCATAAATGATAGCTCAACGAAGTGGCTTATCCTCACGTAGAATTGTACAGCAGCCAAACACTCTAAAAGCATGTTGATTCCGGAGGAAAAATCCATGCGACTGCAGAGAGAGAGAGACACCGTAAACTCCCAATATACAGCAGGCGTCAGGGTTGGGATCGAACCGACGACCTCCTGTATACCGGGCGAGGTAGTTAACATCTCCTAGCCACCGCGGTGCCCTGGACACTCCATCTGCGTGCCGGACCTCGTCTCGGACTCGTTCTCTCCTTGGGCTGCCAGTCAGAAGCTACTTTCGCCCGTTGGTCATCGGTGGCGAGGCACGACTGTCAGTGCAGTCCCGTGGAGGCAGCAGCGAGGGTTGACGGAGTGCACGCAGATGTTGTGAACACTCCCTGCCCGTGAGCGCCCAGGAGGTGCCCTACCCTGGCTCTGCCAGGAGAAGGCAGTACAGCAACAACAACAAAAACATGAACGCCACCTGCTTCCCGTGTGTGGGATAGCGCGTTGTCCCCTTTCCACGCGTGGGTCTTCTCCGGCTGCTCCGGTGATACTCCCACATGTAAACACTCATTAATTGGCCGATACCACCCTGATATATAGAGGACCGCAGAGCTTGAGTAATTCATTATTGGTGTCGGCTCATCGCGTGGCTGCTACCGTTCCCGCTCGTCTGTCGTTCACTCCTCGTGGCGCCTTTGGAGTCGTCCTCTTTAGACGCGAGTGAGCGATCACTGCGTGGCGCGTCACAACTTTAAATCGTTGTTATTATCATCATCGTCGTCGTCCTTGCCAAAAACGTGTCCTGCCCAAGCCGGCTGTCCTTAAGCAATCAACAGCAATGCATTTAACTCGCATACGTTCCTGCAATCTGTGCTCCTATTTTTCATCTCGGTGAAATCCCACGCGTGCATCTCCTCCCTGCCTCCCTTGCGCACTTGTGACCTTTGTGTTCCATTCTAGTTCTTTGGTGTCCGCACGTGTTTTTTGTTTTATGCGAAACGTCAAAGCGGATAACGGCGCGCTCATTAAACACATCCTCATTCAGACACAACGCCGCTTTTACCTTTCATTATTAGGCTCAGCTTTTCAAAAAGCGCTCCCGAACCCGCTCTCAAACGCCTGTTTTATGTCGTAATTTTGATATCGGATCCGCCTTTAATAACTGCCATAGCTACACATTTTGCTGTGTTTTCCAGTTGTGATGTTCCAACAGATATATATATACATAGCGAACGTGTTGTGCAGAGTCCGATAACAGCTACTTGTATCTAGGTTCTCAGATGTAGGCAATTATTCTCGTCTCAGCCCAGTAACCAATAACTGCACGACAAAGAAAGACCGTGAACATGAGCTTGCAATTTAATTCAACGTATCCAAGATACAATGGCTACCGTCATATCACATGGCGGACACATGGCAAGCCACTTTACTCAGAGCCTGAGGGAGCGCTGTATCATTGTCGCCTGAGAGGCCCACTGAGCTATGTAAGTCGCTGTTATTGGAGTGGTTCAGCTGTCATTTTGTCTTCTCGCTCCATTCCCCAAAAAATGTCGTGAGTCGATGCTTTGCTGGCTGAAGGAGTTCCAGAAAGATAACAAGCGAGCTGCCGCTTTGGAAACTGTCACGTTACGACTATCAGAATCAGAATATTTCTACTGGAGGACGAATCCGATGAGCTGGGAAGCTATTTTTCACAGATGTCCTGTCGGGGCACGGGGTAAGAATGTTACGACAACAAACAAGACAAAACATTCTAAGAGTGCCATGTACAAGAAAGGTAAACAAATCACTGACAAATAAAACTAAACACATCCTACCAGGCAAAGCCCACAGAGGAATTTACTTATTTTTCAAAAGCGAACCTGACTACAAATGACAGTTCAACAAAGTGGCTGGTGACTTGGACATTTATAGCAGCGGCATTTAAATCGTCTAAACGCACACTTCTAAATGTGTAGGAAATCAGTCGGACGTATAAATACCACTTTAGTATTATTCTGCCACGGAAATCCTCATCGAGCACGAAAACTTCGTTCTTAAGTCGAGGCCAGTGGTTCTTAAGTTTAAGCCAGTGGTTCTTAAGTATAAGCCAGTGGTTCTTAAGTCGAGGCCAGTGGTTCTTGACCTGGGGTACACGCTGTACCCCCTGGAGTTGCGAGATGGCCTTTCTGGGTGTGTGAGACACAGCCACATTCTTTTAAGAAGGTAAATCATCGAAACACAAATGAAGCACGGGCTTAATGACCTTGTTTCATCAAACCCTGTGTGTTTATTAACATTGTATTTTTTTTACGATCGAGAACCAAAGGGGTGCAAGGCTGCAGTAAAGGTTTAGAACCACTGGTTTAGTCCAATATGGTCCACGAGTGCTTTGCAGGTGGGGGGAGAGGGGAAACATGGAAACCCCAGAAAGATATTCCAAAGGCAATGCTCGCGCAGACGACAGCGGTGACATTCGGCATTGCCATCGGCTGGCCACGACTCGTATCTCAAAAACGCCCGCCGCGCGTGATGACAATCCCCTGGGGTGGCGGTCACCCATCGGGGTAGGGCAGCACGGATGTGAACCCTTCGCTTCAGCCTCCCTCGATCCGGCCAGATCGGTGCCGCAACCACGGATGATTCGATTCGGAGGAAACATAACGCGTTGCTCTGTCGTCTATAACACACGTGCTTTTTTTTTAAACACACGTGTACTCGATACGCCCATTATCGTCATCATCTCTCTCTTTGTCCGTCCGCAAGCATTGCCTTTGGCGGTGCTTTTTGACCGGAACGGGTCAGATAAACACAACGCGGACTAAATCTGGAAAGCATTGAGGGGACATGACAATTTTCGTGCAATTTCTGGTAATTTTCAAAATTTAGCCACGTGGCATCCTTTTGTGTCGACGTTTCATCATGTTCTCAAAGTGGTGCATTTTTATTGAGAACACAGTGGGGTTTGAGCCGACGAAACCTCCGTTTCAAAAGCGAACGTACCAACTGCTATAGGCCGTCCGACATTCAGATGTTTTGAACTCTTGGAAACAGGTCCACAGCCCTGGCCTAATTTGCGGCGATGTGTTTGTTATCCTACGGCTAAAGATTCATTCTCAGGAAGTTCCTACGTGGTAATTTTGTTTCAACCAATGTTTTTTTTGCAGTAAAAAGAAATAAATGCAATCAGTGGACCGAAGCGCCCGGAGAAAGCACGCGGACGGCAAGGATACATCTCTCAACAACTACTTGCTGTACTGTCTTTCTGCAGGCATCACTGCTTTGCTCTGCAGGTAGATGTCTCGCACTGGCTCCATCTCACCATGATCCACCAACACATCTCCACCTTGTGAGGTTACACACGGGGACTTGCCAATTATCGCTTTTAAATAATTTTAGTTACATTTTACAGAATTTTACCATCGTATGAATGGTAATGCTACTACTGATAGAAGAGCCTCAACTCGAGGGTATTTTCATGGATTTGTCGCGCTGGATGAACATCTTAGGCATAACGCACCTTTAAACGTAATCACCGGTAACCCGACAACAACAATAACAACGGTCATCAACAGCCACAAAAGAATAGCACCTGCCCCTGGCGAAACTTGCACACGTTCACATGACGGGGCCAAGTTCATCGATAGGATAACCGCTGTGAACTCCTTCCAAAGTGGAACTAATTGTATCAACCCGAGTGGAATTGAGATGACGATTGGCCAAGAGGGCCGCCAAACTTGAGGGATTTGAACTCACGACGTTCGAACTTAAATTTCGATTTAAATCTTTTGTGACTGCAGGGATTCATCTTCTTGGTTCTTTCGGTAAAGTCACGTAGAAGGGAAGTAGAATTATTTTATTTTTTAATGTTTTATTTTTATTATTTTATTACTTCCCTGCTACGTGACTTTACCGAAAGAACCAAGAAGACCTTCAGACTGTGAAGCCGAACGTCTTTCCAGCAAGTGCCACCCCACGGCTGGCTCAAGCGCCAAACAATATACGCACGGTGCAAAGCTGCGAATTCCGTAGACTCAGTAGGTACACGGGGCATGCTATGTATACGTCGTGCACACGGTGAAAGATTTGACTGAAGGCAGGAGAGCAAATACGAAACTTGCCTGCCTAAGTGCCGAGTGTTGACGCTTACATTCTTGCTGAATTAAATCAGCTCCGAGCTACGGAGCTTTGGACCCAATGCAATATTCTCCCTGCGCGCGTGTGTGGGCGTTTGCATGCTTGGGCACTCATGTGTACAATCGTTTGTGCTTGCGTGTATATGTGTGTGTGTGTCTGGTGTGTGTGTGTGTATGTATAATGCGTGTGTTATTACGTCCTCGTGTGCGGATGTTTATGTATGGAGGTTTGCTCGTTACGCACGTAGTGTAGCGATGAGCGCCGCGCTGAGCGACGAACCTGGCAACCCGGGTTCG